TATTCTTACACTTAAGAAAATGGATTTGGAGTTGTAAAATGAGAATGATTGGAAATGTGTTCAATTTGTCTATTTCACAAAAGTAAGAACCATAGGTAAACATTGTGTGCATGCTAGGAGCATGGGACAAGTGTTGGAATTCAAGTAAGAAGTTGATTACCCGAAACGACAAATAATGAGTAATCGATATGGTGATAAATAAAACGTGTTTTGTTTATACTCAAAGGTTTGAGGCCATATGGGATTAGTATTATTCTTGTGTTTCACCTTGCATGTTTTGACTTCCAGAATAATTGAGTTTATTAAGAATAATCGAATTATTCAAACGGGCCACAGTCGTTCATATGTTGGAAGTAGATATGAATGAAGACTGTCGTGAATTGGTGTGTGGATTGTCTAAAAGAGTATTAGACATAAGCAAATGTTTGCTGCAACGTTCATGAGTGCTTATGAATATGATTTGAGCATTGGATTAAACCCACGCTCACTTGGATCACTATCTCGAGTGATTAGTGAGACGATAACATCTTATATTCTTGAAACCGAGATGTGTGAGTTGTATCTTGCGAATCGGTTGCACATTGATAATATGTAAACGCACCAGTAACTTGGTGTTATAAAACATATTGTTGTGTGTAATTCGGTGAGTGAGTGCAAGCGAGCATTGTATCAAAGTTTATCCGTTCCTTTTATCCAAGGTAGGATAAAAGCGATATCTTTGGGCCCCTCGATGGTTTAGTGATGACATACGTAAATGCTCGGCCGGGCTAGGGCTAATTTGATTTGTTCAATTAGTCTGTCGTCATAAATCGGAAATCGAGATATAGTACAAAGAGAATGATTTGAAATCATATCTCATACGATATCTAGAATGGAGGAATATATGATCCCTTATCTAAGGACACGTGTATCTGATAGGATCAGAGTTGACAACGGCTTTGGAAAGCTATGATTGCAGATCGGGATCTGAAGTCATACGCAGAATAATTGTTAGACTTATCCAAGTGGGAGACTGTTGGATTAGTGTCTAAGTCCATAACTATTTTGGTATGTACTTGACCCGATGGTGCATGGTCCTTTTGGGTTGCCTTCACCAAAGCAACTTGATAGGATGATTTATGGAGAGTAAGGATTAAATATGATTTATTAATATATTATGGGAATAATATATTAAAGGAGAAATCATATTGTTTAATTAATATTAGTCAATAATTAATTGGTAATTAGTTTTGTGACTAAAAGAGATTAATTAAACTTAAGGGACTGGAATTTTAATTATAAGATAATTGCAATTTGGGCCATGGATTGCCTTGTATTAAGGGATGGACGAATTCTAATGGGAAACCCATAAGGAAATCGTCCATGGGCTTAATTAAAGGAGTCTATGGGTTGCTTAGGGCTTAAGCATCCAAATTAGGGTTTCCTTGTTAGATAACCCTAATAGCCCAACTATATAAAGACCCCTTAAGGCTCAAAAACGTGGCTAATGTTCTTGTAAGGGTTTACACACGTTTTTGGCAGCCTCCAACCTCTCTCCTCTTCATCCTCTTGCTTATGGTGTTTGTGAACCATTAGAGGAGTGACACTTGTGACTCTAAGCCTTCCAAAGTCAATACAAGGAGATTTGGGATTGTTATTACTACATAACAATCAAGGTAACATTATAAACTCATTCTTGTGTTAATATGATTATTTGAATGCTAGAATTAGGGTTTATAGTCTTGGATTCAAAGCATGTACAATAGAGAAACCTAGATCCAAGCATTAGGGTTTGTATGAGCACATAGGATGTCTTATGACCAAAACCCATCAATTTTCTCATAAACTACATATCAGCCCCTAGAGTTACCATAACGACACAATCTACCCCCAAAGTTCAAAAGTTTATCATTTTAGGTCTCAAAATTGTTCCATTTAAGTCCCTCACTTGAGATATTCTCTTTAATAAAATAAATACCGAAGTTATAATAATCAAAATAAGAAAAATATTAACATACCAAAAAAATTGGGATATTACAATATTCTTTTTCCTTTTTGTTTCCTTGATATTTGTTTCTTTCCGACAAAACCTTTTGTCTAAAGATGATCGATGGGAAAACACGTTGATCTAAAATATAATCTGCAACAAGTGTGTACTTCTTCACGACCTTGACATACATATTTTTTTTCTTTGATAGTTGACTAAAACTTTCTAATTCAAATGTGACTTCTTTCTCCATGAGCATTAACAACTTTTCATAAGCTGCTATTCAATATGATAAACTTATTTACTTGTACAAAAATTTGTTCGATGGCGTGTCGAACATAATTAGAAAAAAAGAAGTTATGAGATAGTATAGGAAAACAATGACTTTCTAATTCATATGTGATTTCTTTCTCCATGAGCATTAACAATTTTTCGTAAACTGCTATTCAATATGATAAAATTATTTATTTGTACAAAAACTTGTTCGATGGCGTCGTCGAACATAATTAGAGAAAAAGAAGTTACGAGATAGCATTAAAAAAACAATGAGTTTTATTGATATGCAATAAAACCAACAATGTCCTTTTTTATAGATATAAAATGCCACACCCTAAAAAACTAAAAAAATAAATATGTCCAGTCTTCTTAAAAAAAATAAAAGATATAAACTTATTATGTTTATAGTTATAAAAAACGGTAAAAACATAATGTGATCATTATGAATTTATATTTAATATTGGAGAATAAAATAATTGTAAAGTAATTTGTCAATAAATAATAAATAAAATAAAATGAGTAAAACGAAACACTATTAAATAAAAGAAGTTAAATCTGAAAAAAGTTAATAGAACAATTTTTATATTACTAACCCAAAAATTTATTCACTCAAATATATATATATATATATATATATATATATATATATATATATATATATATATATAAAGATGATTATTAATATTTATGAGTTAAAAAAACTATATTTTTTTTGGAAAGGGAATTTCCTAACGAGGGTTTCGGACCAACTTTCGTGCGCCGACTGATCATCGCTGCAAACATGAGGTTTTGCTTCACGTTCTGAAATAACTACAGACGAACCTTCTTCACCACAAAAAACTATATTTAAGAAAAAAAAAATCAAATATTATCATATTTTATTCCTACTAATATTTTTACTCATTAGATAAATATAAGTGTAAAACTCAATAGAAGAGATCAAGAGAGAGAAAATAATAGATTCCACGTGTTATTATTTTATATGAATAGGAAAATAAATATAAATAAAAAGTGAAATAATATTTATTTTTTCTTAAAAACATCTTTATTAACAATTTTTTATCTCTGATTATTATTTGTGACCATGTATGGTCATTTGATGCCATTAGAAGAGTATAACATTTTTTTATTAACCATTTAGTATACATTAAATGATCAATATTCTTTTAAGTTTTTCAAGATCTTATTTCTTTTCTTTTAGTTATAATTTATTTTTAAATATTTTTTTACTAATTAATTATTTATATCGAATATTTAATAGCATTTGATTTATGAAATATAAATTTATAATAATTATATAATGTTTTTCAATGTTTCTTTTGGTAATTATATATTTAATAACATTTGATTTATGAAATATAAATTTAGAATAATTATATAATGTTTTTCAAAGTTTGTTTTTGGTAATTATATATTTAATAACATTTGAGATATGAAATATAAATTTATAATAATTATATAATCTTTTTCAATATATATATATATATATATATATATATATATATATATATATATATATATATATATATATATATATATATATATATATATATATATATATATTTGGTAATTATCAAGAGCGAGGGTGGTGGTAGCTCATAGTTATGTAGCAAGCTAGGTTGTTGAGAATGTAATAAGTTTTTGAAATTTATGTATATCAATACACATCCAATATAATTGTATAATTCCGTATTAAAATATAACTTGTATTTCAAAAACGACCAATTAAAGAAAGATTTTGTATAATATCTTACAAAGATAAAACTGAAAAAGAAATTATAAAAAAAATATAGATAAAAATAAATTAGATAAGTTTATAAAAAAGATTAATTATTAAACATATCATGTAATTAAAGTTTAAAGTTGATAAAATAATAAATTAACAATTTAATGACATGTTTGGCAGCAAATTTTTTTTTAACAAAAGTTCGATTCAAACAAAAAGGTTCGCTTGACTATATAGGTTTTTAGTTTAAACAAAAATTTCTATTCTAAAAGTTATTTTCTGTGAGGTTTAAAAAAGTTATTGAGTTTCTAAAATTACTACTATTTAATTATTATATCTCATATTTAGCTTTTAGACAAATTCTTTTAATATAATTTATATTATACTTTTATCAAACATACATATATAACAAATAAAAAACTATAACTTTTAAATTTAGTTATAGCGAGAGAAGTCCATAATATTAATTGCGAAATAGCGATATAAATTTGGATGAAGATGGGATATGAGAAATTGTTAGGTGGTAGCAACCCCAGTCCGTATCGTGCACTCTTATTCAATCAAGGGATCAAAAGTAATGCCAAAAGGAAACCAACGGCTGCGAATAGGGTATAGAATTGAAAAATAGATGTAGGGTTCTAGATGGTAGGTATATATAATATAGTTTGCCCTATTGCACCCCCCTAAGCTTCCATAGATGCGCCTCTCTTCCTCCCTCTTTCTCTAACCCTTTTCTCTCTCTATCCCCCATTCTTTCTCTCCTCGTCTTCTCAACCCCCTTAGCCCTACCTGCAATCTTCAAGGGCAGACCAGAAAATTTCATTCAAAAGTTTCGTATTTTCACCCTATTCTTTACCAGGTATTCTTTTACTTCCCCCCTTCCACTCTTTCTCATTCGTTCTATTTTATCCATCTCAAACCTTTAAACAAAAGGATGAACGCACAATCGGGTTCTCATCATGAGTTCCGATGAGTCTTTGGACTCAATTTTAGCTAGATTGTGTTAATCTTGAGTAATTGCGATGTTTCGGATTTGGGTTTTTGTGTTCTGTTTATCAGATTTCTAGGGTTTGACTTTTTTTTTTTTTGATTTGGTATCGCTGTTCTTATGTGATTTTGTGTTTTGGGTTTTTAGTCACTAACAGTTTGATCATGCTAAATACTCGAACTTTAGTTCGTTGTGGGGCTTTATATGTCATGTAATCCATCTCTTCGTTCTTGTAAAGGGTTCGGTGTAAGTTGTTGATATGAATTTTGAAGTTTAGGTTAACTGCGGATTTGCTTTCTGTCAAGGTTATTCAGATTTGATGAATTTATGGTTCATGAATTGGTACAAACCCAGATGTCGATTTGAAACGAATTCAATTTCAATTGAAGATTGTACTTGATTTGCTGTACAAATTTTCAAGAATTACTGTACCCTTTAATCGACGCAGATGATAGAGCAACAGTCGGTTCAGTTTATGTAGTTTGAATGAACACAAGAATTTGTAATATCACTGCATACACTGATATGAAATTCTGGATAAAATACCTGTTTGATTTGGATTTTTGGATCATTTGAGTCTTTCTTTAACCTGTTTCGTTTTTAGCCTTTCTTGTTTTACAAATTTATAGTGTTTGGTACCTTTCATTTTGTATCTCCTTTTGATCGTTGTATGATTTAGACTTTTTGGGTGTTTGTTGTTAAAATCACCTATCTATCTGTTACATCTCTGTGAAATTTTTGGCTTAAATGATATGAATATTGTTGTATTAGAAAGAAATTAGAAACAAATCAATGTCTCGAAAAGGTTCAATTACACTTATTGTTTTAAAGTTTCTAAATTGACAGTTTCCTTTTGGTGATAAATAAACATTCAGGTTTGCTTTCAAACTAAATTGCCATAAATGGCGATAGTTCCATCAAAGAAAATGATTGCAATTTGCCAATATGGTGGTGATTTTGACACCCATGATGATGGTTCCATGACTTATGCTGGAGGTGAAGCATATGCTGTTGATCTTGATGAAAATATGCAATTAAGTGGTTTCAAACAAGAAATTGCAGAAACTATTGATTCAACTGTAGATGGAATGGTTGTTAAGTATTTCTTGCCTGGAAACAAAAAGAATCTCATAACTGTTTCTAAAGATAAAGATTTTCAAAGAATGGTGAATTACTATAAAGAAGCAGATCAACTTGAGGTCTTTATTATGAAAGAAGCCCCTATGGGTAAAAATGTCAAGAAAAAACAACCAGCTCGGAGGTAATTGCCTATATCTATAATCTAGTTTTCATTTGACTTTAGATATGAATTTCTATGATGTTTTTTTTGTTGTTGTGTAATATATAGGGTTTAATCAAAGAAATATCCATGTACTTTCATTGGTTTGTTTTTTATAATATTTTTCAAAGTATGATGTTTTGATAAGAAAGATTTGTAAAACTACAATGCTTTGATAAGAAAAGAAAAAAAATTGAAAGTATGATGATGTTTTAGAAAGAGTTAAAAGTAGGATTTTATCAATACATAAATAGATAAAAAGCATGTTTATTTCATTTATCTGTGTTTCATAGCATCCTAGTTTCAGTTTTTTTTCTTATTAAAGCAATATACTTTGAAAAACATTAACAATTATAGCAAGTAAAAAGTGCTTTATATTTTGATGAAATTGTAGCTTCTTCAAATAAAAATGTTGTGATAGGAAGAAATGAATGTAGAGTACTTTAAATAGTACACAAATCAATGAAAGTGCATTGCTAATTCTTTAGTTTTTAACTTAAAACAAAACCTAATTTTGTTACTATGTAATTTTTTGTGTAGGCCGCAAAAGACACCACAGAAGGCGACGGAAACAACCGCAGTGGTTCAAGCGACTCCAATTCCGGCCTCAATTCCGGCCTCGAACAACGCGATCGCGCTCAACGAGCCAATCGACATTGAAACGACCACCGAAATCATTCCGGGAGCGGTTCCGATCTCCGCGAATCCGTTTCCGATGGCGGTCATTGATTCCGACCAACGCATGGCTGCCAAGCAATGGGAGAATCTCATCACCGGAGTCGGCCAACGATTCCATTCCCTCGCCGAATTCCGCGAAGCCCTCCGCAAATTCTCAATCGCCCACGCCTTCAACTTCGTCTACAAAAAAAACGAAAACCAACGCGTCACCGTAAAATGCAAAGCCGAAGGTTGTCCGTGGAGAATCCACGCCTCGAAACTCTCCACAACTCAATTAGTTTGCATCAAAACAATGCGACCCGTTCATAATTGCCAAGGTGTCACTTCAAAAGCACCGTTTCGCGCAAAACGAAGTTGGGTTGGGAATTTAATAAAAGAAAAAGTAAAAGAATCACCGAAAATCAAACCGAAAGACATCGCGACCGAACTTAAACGCGATTACGGGATCGATTTAAACTACTCGCAAGCGCGTAGGGCGAAAGAATACGCGCGCGAACAACTTCTAGGATCGTATAAAGACGCGTATTCCGAACTCCCGTTTTTTTGTGAGAAAATAATGGAAACGAATCCCGGATCTCTCGCCACATTCAGCACGAAAGAGGATTCGAGTTTTCATCGTCTTTTCGTGTCTTTTCACGCTTCGATTTCCGGTTTCTTACAAGGATGCCGCCCGTTGCTCTTCCTCGATTCCACACCGTTGAACTCGCGCTACCAAGGGATGTTGTTGACCGCCACGGCGGCCGACGGTGACGACGGGGCGTTTCCGGTGGCGTTCGCGGTGGTGGACGAAGAGACGGCGGAGAACTGGCGGTGGTTTTTGACGGAGTTGAAGCTCGTGGTGCATACGCCGGGGCAAATTACGTTTGTGGCGGATTTTCAAAAGGGGTTGAGGGAGTCTTTGAGGGAGATATTTGGTGGGGAGTGTTATCACGCGTATTGTCTTGGGTATTTGGCGGAAAAATTGAATAAGGATTTGAAAGGGCATTTTTCACATGATGCGAGAAGGCTTATGGTGGAGGATTTATACGCTGCTGCGCATGCACCGAAGCTTGAAGCGTTTGAGAAATGTACGGAGGATATTAAAGCGATTTCACCTGAAGCGTATAATTGGGTTATTAGAAGCGAACCTGAACATTGGGCCAATACGTTTTTTGGTGGGCTAAGGTATAATTTTATATGATTAAAATAATTGTTTTGCTTTTTAGTCTTGTTTTTAAAAAAAAAAAAAAAAACAAAAAAGGACCTGTCCTTTTCTTGAAAAGTCTTGATTTAACTCATTTAATATGGTAGGACCAAAAGATTAATTTATTAATTTATTTTTGTGGCTATTTTTTTAGGTACAACCACATGACTTCAAACTTCGGGCATCTATTCTACTCATGGGTATCGGAAGCGAACGAGTTACCAATAACACAAATGATCGACGAGTTACGAGGCAAAATGATGCAACTCATCTACACTCGCCGAGTCGAGTCGACTCAGTGGTTAACTCGGTTAACTCCATCCATGGAAGAAAAACTCAAAAACGAGATCATAAAAGCGCGATCGGTCCAGATCCTGCGGTCCCACGGGAGCAAATTCGAGGTGAGGTACGGTGAAACGGTGGATATTGTGGATATAGAGAATTGGGATTGTAGCTGTAAAGGGTGGTTGCTGACTGGACTGCCATGCTGTCATGCGATTGCTGTGCTGGAATCTTATGGGCGGAGCCCGTATGATCATTGTTCGAGGTATTTTCATGTGGAAACGTATCAGTCCACTTATGCTGACTCGATTCATCCGATTCCAAATGTGGAAAGGTTGGTGGATAGTGAGGCGGAGGATGGGGCGGTGTTGGTGACACCGCCGCCCACCATGCGGACTCCGGGCAGGACAAAGATTAGGAAAGTGGCAGCTGGAAGGATCGGGCCGTCGGATTTCTTGAAAAGGCAGTTGCAGTGTGGGAAGTGTAAAGGGCTTGGACATAATAAGAGATCATGCAAGTAAGTGTTTTTTTTATAATCCAAAATATTAATTAGTTATATAATGGATTAATCTAATTTTTTTATTTTTTTTTTTTATTTTTTTATTTTTTTATATTTTGTGTTTTTTTCGGATTAACCCTCAAATTTGTTTTTTTGTCTTAGAAAGACCTTGTGTTTTTCATTTTTTCCAAAAAAAACACTCAGCTTTGTGTTTTTTCCGAAAAAAACCTCAACCTTCTAAATGCTTCAAAATTTACGCGCAACCTTTTTAGTTTTTCTCGAAAAAATTCTCACAAGGTCTTTTTCAGGCAGTTTTTTTTGAGGTTTAATCCGGAAAAAACACAAAATATAAAATATAAGGTCTTTTATGCGATTAACTCTCGTATAATTTGTTAGTAATAATTTTTTTTTACAGAGAATGGTTATTTGATCCACTTGTTTGTTTTTGCAGAGAGATTGAGGAATAAGCGTTTGCTCTTTGTGGAAGATTAATAAAAAGCAGATGGTTGGATTTTGGATCATGGGCAAAGTTTATGGGTTTAAGATTGCAAACTGTTATCGTGTTTGTGTAATTTGGTGTTAGATTGGTAATTTCATCAGTAGGTTTTAGCAATTAGAGATTAGTTGCTTGTTAATGTTGGTAAATGGAGGTTTTAGCTTTCAGACGTTTTATATGCACAGTTTCTAGCAGTTTGACTTTTTGTTCAGACTATGCCTATTACTTTCTCCCTTCAGTGCTAACATGTGACTTAAACGGTTCTCTTGGAACATTGTGATTTTCTAATGGGCTACATTGAAAGGACTAAAAATTTATCACAATTAGTAAGTAATATATTATAAATTTAAATGCAATAAAGTCGTACCATAATTTTGATTGGTTGAAGAGCTGCAAAAATCTTCAAACTTTACTATTTTCAATATAGTTTGGCTTTCATTGGCTTCAAACAACACCATTAGTGTGATAACTGTGGGTTATAGATTTGACTAAACTCAGTTCCCGTACATTCCATATTTTAGATTTAGAAATTAGAAGTTAAGTTATGACCTACTAGAGATTTGAAAACAAATAGAATAGAAGGATAATGTATTTAGCAATAGAAAAATGAGTTTCGTAGGAATTTTAAGTCAAGTTGAAAACCAAGACTAGTATATTTTCATTCTTTCATTTCATTTGAATCACAAAACCACTACTTATAATGACAATAAACTGATAAAAACGAATTACAAACATTACTATTAATTAGGAAAGAGTTATGAAACTCCAAAATGATTTGAAGTTTGAAAATTTCAATTTATTTTGATACCTAAAGATTACAAACTCCTTAAAATCTTGAAAGCTCAAAGCCTAAATTTTACAAATTTAGCATCAAAATTCTATAAAAAAAAATGATTATGAAGCTTATAATGTCATCTTAACATATTTAAAAATGTGGAAATATAATCTAAGAAATTAATTTATTTTATTAACGTTAATTTTATTTTTGTAAGCAAAAAATCCAAGAGTAATGAACAAATCTTATATAAAAATGCACATTTTATATAGATTGGGGAAATTTATTTAAAAAAATAAAAGAAAAGGAGAAAAACCTCTCTCTCTCTCTCTCTCTATATATATATATATATATATATATATATATATATATATATATCTCTCTATATATATATATATATATATATATATATATATATATATATATATATATATATACATATATATATATATATATATATATATATATATATATATATATATATATATATATATATATATATAAGTTACTGATTTAAACAAAAGTTACACTCTTTCTTTCATTTTCTCTAACACTCCATCTCTTTCCCTCATCTTTCATCACCACCCCTCCAAAGCACCATTTTCTCTTTTTCCCTCTATCAAACTAGCGCAATTTTGGCAGTAAGAATACCATTTTTCTAAAAAATCTTCATCATTTGAAATTATTCTTAACGGTAAACCCAAATCTCCCTTCATACTTACATGATTTTTTTGTTTTTCTTCAACTTCTACACCTTCTACATGCCAAGTTCATATACATGCACACATACTTATGGTTTTGATGATGATGTTGGTAGGATTTCAACCAAGAACATTATGCATGTTGCAAATGGTGATGTCCCATGACCTAAACCTAAGTCAAAATCAAAATAACACACTTTTATACTAGTTGTGATGGAGAAATCACAACATGAACCAAAGTTTTCTTTCAAAAATGAATTTTAAACTTTTCGAACTCATACATGGTCCTTAAACCAACATGGATGTGATGATCTTTAAGCTTAGATGCAAGATTATCAAGGTATCTTGTTAAAGGCTTCAAATATGTTTGTAAAACACTTTAATGAACAAAATATATAAAACTTATTTTCTGTCTAAATCCGATTTTTCCCAGAATCTTAGTAGTATAATAAGATGATCTGAAAATTTTTAGAAAAGAATTCATTTTTCTCGAATTATTGTAATTCTTGCAAGAAAACAGAGCAATAATTCATATAAAATAACTTTCAAGGTCAATAAACTCTGGGAAAATTCTGAGATGACTTATACATTGATTAAAAACAATTTATGAATTTGCATGAATTTTATCGCTATTTTCTGTATATTTTGATTTTATTTTTATTGAAGAGAAATAAATGATAAAATACAATTATGAATGTGATAAACCATTTTTGATAATTTTTGCACCATATGGACATTCTCAAATTTTCATAGAAAAATTTAAAGATTTTTCCATGTGTAACACTCCAAATCAAGTATTACCTTGGAAGCCCTTGAAAATTTTAAATGTTGCATAATCAATCCCTTAAGTACGATGGGCGTACTCATGGTTACGCTTAGGTGCTGTTTGATTTTCTGAAGCAAAATTCATGAAGTCTGTGGACCACGTCTGCAACCCTCTGCAGTAGAAGAGGTGGACCAAACGGCTGCAGACTGTAATAAGAAGTGTGTTTGTTTTTTTAACATCTGCATACTGCTGCAGATATTAAAAAATTAAAATAAACTAATTTTATAAACGGAAAATAGCTTTTTAATACGTAAAATTTAATAATGTATAACATTTCGGTAAAAATTAATAATAATTCAGTAAAAAATAATGATATTTCAACAAAAAAATAAAGATATTTTAGTAAAAAATAATGATATTTTATCAAGAAATTATCATTATTGAATATAAAAAAACGAAAAATAAGTTCAACAAGAATAAACAAAAAAACGAAAAAAAAGTGAACTAAAATTTTAACAACATATAATCAAATTTTCAGCAATAAAAAAAGAATAATAAGAGGTTGGAAGAGACAGTACATGTAACAACCGAAAAATCCAACCAATTTAAATTTTTCAAAAACAACCCGATTTCATTAAATTATTACAAAAAGGTTTTCAATACAAATCATTTAGATTATTCCCAGAATGACATTACTACAAAATCATGAGGAGCGGTACGATCACGCCTTCGCCTTGCCACAGTCTCCTGAAGAACCTGAAAAACATTAAACCACAACTGTAAGCCCGAAAGCTTAGTGAGATACCCCTAAAATACCAACCACATATAACATACACATATCATGCTATCTCATAACGGATCACAAAACAACCATGCATATCGGGTCTACTGTGGGACTGGTCCGCCTTGTAGGGCCTTCAGTCCACCTGGTCCACCCTCCGTGTCCAATCATGTCCCTCGAGTCTGCAGTGTGGTTGGTCCGCCCGCACTGGACCTTCAACTCACCTGGTCCACTCTCTGAGTCTACAGTATGACTGGTCCGCCCACATCGGGCCTTCAGTCGGCCTGGTCCACTCTCTGAGCCTCGGCACGTCTGGTCCGCCCTCGTGGGGCTTACAGCCTATCCGGACCGCTCGCTGGGCCTTCGGAATAACCGGTCCGCCCTGGGTATCTTGGCCTACAGCACGAAGCAGGACCCACCTCAACCCAACTCCAGTCCAAACAACTATGTGCACATAAACATACAATCACATAACATTTCATATTCAGGCAAACCGATCTAGCAGATCACATAACACAACATACTCTAACAGGATATCGACCTAACCGGTCACTAGCATAGCATCATCCTATCTACCAGGATACCGACCTTAACCATGTCTATAACGAATACCATCCTAACTACCAGGATGCAAACATATCAAAGCAATAACATAACAACAGATACCCGGATCTCAATCCGATAAAAGGGCCGGCCTTGGTGCCTTAGACCCTGTTGATATAGTGAGGATAACTCACCTCGAAACTGCCGGCTGAAAGGATAAGATCGTGCTGCTCCAAACTCCGACACAAACTCCTCCACTAAACACCAAAACACTCAACTCAATATATACCCTTAATTACCAAAATACCCCTGGAAGACAACTGGTCAACCTTGGACAAAGTTAAAGTCAACCCCTGTCTGACTCTACTCGCCGAGTCAACCCGATGACTCGCCAAGTCCCTATGCTCAGAACTTCCCTCAATCCGCGACCTAACTCGCCGAGTCACCCGAGACTCGCCGAGTCCAACAACTTTGAGTCCACTTGCACCCAACTCACTGAGTCATCCCTTGACTCACCAATTCTCGACTTAACCAGAAAATATTGGGACTCTTCGACGAGACTCGCCAAGTCAAAGAACAGACTCGTCGAGTCTAAGGCTATCTTCAACCTACTCGCCGAGTTGTTCATCCAACTCGTCGAGTTCCAGCTCATCTTCAAGCATCTCGTCGAGTCCACCCATGTGACTCGCCGAGTACCACCGGTCTGAATCCATATAGAAGCATTCCAGGCCATGCAATTGATCCAAAACATAAATCTAGCCTCCTACAATCCATCCATCACGTAAAGTGGCAAACTTTACGTGAATCCAAAGAGATCTAGGCCTTATTCACTTTAGAGCTATGGTTTGGGACATGATAGCTTCACTAAGCACTCAAGACAGGGACTTTAATGCACTCTAGGCCTTCAATATTCCAGATCTGAGGTAGCAACCTCAGATCTAACCTCCAAACTCCAAAACATACAAAGATAAGCTCCCCATAAACCCCAAAATGATGAATCCATATGAGTGATAGCCCAAGAACGAGATATTACCTCAAAAGCATGCCCCAACTGCAATGAAACTCGAATCCAAGCAAAGCCCTTTGATCCAAGCCTCTTCTCCTTCAAGATTTCTTCAACAAACACCTCCCCAAGCTCCAAATGCACTCCAATCTTCTTCAATCACGCTTTCTAGGGTTTCTGGACTTCAAGGGGGATCAAAGAGGCTAGGGAGAGGATATAATGTTCTTTAAATAGGGCTCATCCCCTGGATTTAGGGTTTTCTCCACTCAGCACCTACTCGCCGAGTCCATCTTTGGACTCGCCGAGTAGGCCACTTGACTCGCGACCAAAGTCGCGACCCTACTCGCCGAGTCCATCCATGGACTCGCCGAGTTGCCCTTCAAAAATTTACACTTTTAGTCC